ACAACTCCGCTAGACGTCCAAATGTAAGCTCGACGACGCGAATATTGAACGTTAAGTAAGTATTAGAATTTGGTATCTACAAATCAATAGAAAATGTCCATTTGTTGTTGATAAAAATGGGAATTGGGTGTTTCCAAAGCAAATGGTATTGCTACGGATGGATGTTGCATTGGTTGAGTGTGATTCCGAGGTCGTCGAGGAGAATCACTATGCAAATCACGAACTGTTGGTAAGCGATTCATGTGGCGAGCGTCGTGAGTTAATTGCGCGATGGCAGAATTACCGATGCGATCCTCAGGTATACCTAATCTTTCCTCCTCCTCCGGCAAAATAGAAATCTTGTCAGAAAACTTCTTGTAATCTCCTCGCCGTTCCCATGAAGCATGCCGTTCTTGAAGGTGTCTGTATATATTGTACTTCCAGTGAATTTCAGAACAGAAATCACATTTAATAGGTACGTTTGTGCAGGCTTTCTTTGCGGTCATCTTTGCGGCAACGTGAATCATGAAATTGTAGGCCTTTGAACATGTGGAGCGCGCTTTTCCACTTTGGATGGAGATGTTACACTTCCCGATAAGCTCATAACAGAGGCCGCAAAGTACTTGATTTGATTGTTGTGAAGGGGATCTGTCAGTGGGACTTGGAATATTTGACAAAGAATGTGAAGAGACACTATGTACAGTATCAGTGAGGCATGTTGTGTGAATGAGTGTTGGGAAGGACGCGTCTCGTTTAGGAGGCGCGACACGTCAAAGATAAATGAGGTGACTCTACATTACAATGAAATTCCTACGTCGCTGTTGCCGACTTGCCGAATTTTCCGGTTGTGCTACGGCTATGTGTAACCGGTGGCTGTACCCCCCCCCCCCCCACCCGTGGGACTCAACGTGTGTGATCGGTGAATCTGAAACCTCTTGCCTCCCACCACCACCAACGTCCCCGCTCCTCGTAAACGCGCGCCCGCTACCCACCCACGCCACGTCACCACGGTCAGCTGTGGCCACCACCGCCCACAAACGTTGTCGACCGCCAACAACGACCACATCAACAACGCGGCAACGCCACGTCAGCAAGCAAACGAGCCCCGGCGAGGGACGAAAACGGACCACGAGGGACAACCACGACGACCATGACCACGCCCACGAACCACGACACGCCCCACGACGTCAACGGACGCCCACGTCAATGGACCACGACCACGTCAACGGACCACGACCACGCCA